ACAGTAAACTCGTTCTTGAAATATGGGATTAATAAATTGTAAATCCTGAAATATGACCTTTTCTGCACATGTCCAGGAATATGGGATTAATAAATTATAAATCCTGAAATATGACTTTTTCTACACATGTAAAAAATATGACATATTAAAAACGTAAAAGGCAATTTCTTAAATAGTTGCATGACAGGGATTAGAACAGAACTGTAGGTGCCTAAAATGTAACAAAAAATGTCATTGACGATTTTGACTTGAATAGTTCATGTAAGAGTTCATAACAGAAGCTAAAATTGCCAAAAGCGTTTTTAGCTTGGTCAAAAGCATTGTATCGTCAAATCGATGCAGGCGGGTGCAAGAGGTGCAGGGGCAGTGAACTCGTCGTTGACGATGTTAAATGCTGCCATGCAAGGAATCTGACTCTATAAAGTTGACATTGACGATTTTGAACAATTTAAAATGCCAATGGTGATTTTAAGCTTATATATTTGCTGCATATGAGAAAGGGGCGGGAAAAAGTTGAAGAAGAAGAAATGAGATTACAGAGAAATAGAGAGAAGTTGAAAAATTAGAATTGCAGAAAAAATGGTTAAAGATACAATCGTTGATCTAAGGAAACATATTTTGGAACAAATTCAAAATTTAAATGTAAGTTTTTCTATGTTATTTAATATATTTTTATGTGTATTTTAATTATGGTTTAATTTTTAATAAATAAAATATAACATTAGTAATATATAGTAGTTGGTTTTTTTGGTAAGTAAAAAATTAATCTGGATTTTTTATAATAATTTATATTATAGTAATTAAAATTAAAAAATGCTGAATTTGTGTTGAAAAAAAGGCTAAAATCAAAAGCTCGTAAGTTTTATTTTGAAATGTATTATCATTAATGTATCATGTTAATTTAAAATTGATTATATATGATGTGAAGTACATTGTAATTTTATTGTAAATATTTTTGTCAATTATATTATTATAATGAAATTTGATTTTATAAGAATTTTATAATTTTTTAAATATTTATTAGGATTTATGTAATATAGATAATTGTTTTAGTAATAATGGTGTTTTTTAATTATTTATAACAGGTAATGAGAATATTACGCTTTTGTCACTTGTCAATAACGCCTCTAAGAATTGAAATTATGGAAATTTTACAACATGGTGGATTTGATCGAATTTCTCAACTTTGTGAAATGCAAATAAATGGTTCATTGATAAATGCGCTGGTAGAACGTTGGAGGCCTGAAACACACACATTTCACTTAGTATGTGGAGAATGCATAATTACATTGGAGGATGTGTACATGTTACTTAGACTTAAGATCAGCGGTTTAGCAGTGATTGGTTCTACAAATCCTTTTACTGTTATTATACAGGATATGTGTGAAAATTTAATAGGAGGCCGACCTGATTCAAACGACATTGACGGATCAGAAATTAAATTAAAGTGGCTATCCCAACACCTTGGTTTGCTTCCTTGTAATTCCGACATTAGGTTACAACAACATGCTCGTGGGTATATTTTTTGCTTGTTAGGACATGTTCTGATGTAAAATAAAAGTAATTTAGTGGTTGATGAAACGATATTTAGCTATTCGTCATGCAAAAGATTGTCGTTAATCCTCATCAAATATGCAAAGAAATGAATGCAGTACTAGGGTGTTATCCTAGGTCGTCTCCAAGGAATTTTTGGTTGGGAACATACATCGAACAAGTGTAAACATATATTTTAAAGCAAGTAAATTGGGGGGAGGTTTGTCAATTTCTGGATTTTAATCAAGAACGAAATGTAAATTAATGAAATTCAATCAATCAAAATGAGTAATCCCTAGTCAAGCAATGAGTTCTATCATTATTCTTCCAAATGATTCAATAATCCCTTTCTTTCCCTTAAATTAAGTTAATCTAACAAGCGAAGACTAACTTTAACATCCCAATTAAAATTAAGCATCTTAATGGGCTCCAATCTCTATCCCTAAGATTAAACAACCTCAAGGATTAACCAAAATTAAGCAATTTTGAATTAGAATTTCGTTAGGTAAATTAGGGTTCATTAAGCAATGTTCCCTTCATGCAAATTCCATTTCATTCAGAGATTGGGGTTAATAAATTCAAGGAAAGAAAGATTTGTATTGCAATTAATCCCAAGAATTCAAGATTCATGTGCATTGATTAGGAATTACAAGAAAGTTTAGCCCTCCATATGAATAGGCTTCACGAATGAGAGAAAGAAATGCAAGAACGTAAACATCATTAATGTAAATTCAACAACAATCAAAAGAGAAATTGGAAATTAAAACCTATAGAGGACCCTTCGCTGTCACCCAAGACTCCAATGTCGTAAGAAATTATCCCAATTTGGCAAAGAAAAATTGTGTAAAGTGTCAAAAGTGTCGTACCCTAATTCCTAAAATCTATTTATAGTGGATGATATGTCACCAAAGTGTCCACTTTTGCCTTTGAAAGTGTCCACTTTAGGCCCACTTTGGGCCTTGAAAGTGTCCACGTGCAGGATGGAAGGAATGCCGCTTCTCTGGAGTTGCCACTATTTGTGCTGAAAGTAGCTACTTTGGTGCGCATGGCTACTATGAGAGCCAATAGTGGCCACGCGCAGGAAGGCTTCAAAATCAGCGTCCTGGAGCTTCTGAAGTTGCCACTTTTGGTCTTGAAAGTGGCTACTTTGGATGTGCGTAGCCACTTTGAGAGGCAATAGTGGCCACGCGCATCATGCTTCCAATTTAGCGTCCCTGGAGCTTCTGGAGTTGCCACTCTTGGTCTTGAAAGTGGCTACTTTGGAACTTTTAATGCCCAGACTTGCTGTAGTTGCCACTTTTGCTCCCAAAAGTGGCTACTTTGAGGGCAACTTTCATCCAAGGACCAAGATTTCTCAAATTTAACTTGGGCATTCTGCAAAATCATCAAGATAATTAAAATTGCAATCTATATCTATGTAGTTAAATGCAAATTAACCAAAAATTAATAAACCTATGATATTTACTCAAAATGTGATTTCTATATTATTTGCACTATCTAAGTCCATTTCTTCTATTAAGGAGCACCAAAAAGGCAAGTAAAAATATAATAAAAAGTGAATTCATCAGTGGTGCATACAAAATTCTTGTAGTTGTTAACAAATGTGAATGAAATTGATAATTATAGTTGGGGATCAGCATGCTTGGCCTTTCTTTATAGAGACTTAGATCGAGCTTCTAGACTTGATTCTAAAGAAATTTGTGGCTGCTTGATACTTCTGCAGGTGTGGGCATGGCATCGCCTCCCATGACTTGCTCCAATCCCTGAGAGAACCACTAATATTTTCACTTGCTCTTAGATGGAGACGATTGCGATATCCAGCAAAAACTCCGTTTAAGAATCTTCAGAATATTAGAATAGCATTAGATCAAATGGGTCTTAATGAGGTAAAGAGTTTTACAAAATGTTATTAAGATGTTACACATGAAACCCTTTGTTAATGAGGTGTTGACATTAACTTATATGTTTATTGCAATTTTTGTGGAGACCATATGTGGATGATGAAATTCATGCAGTAACTCCAGATGAAGTGAGGCGTGAACAACAAGTGTGGTCAACTGTTAGTCCTCTTATATGTTTTGAAGTCATAGAGTGGCATGCAACTAATTGTGTTATGCGTCAATTTGGATATGCTAAGCCTATTTCTCTTCATCTCCAACAACTTCAAGGAGTCCATAACAGAGACCTACGTGGAGCAAAAGAACCAAAGGACTAGGCAATCATACATCACGATTGGGTGACAATGTAGGAGCATCGACGTGAACGTATTTTGAAAGGAGTCGAAACTCAGAATTTCTATCATTCTAATGAATATTAGGCATGGTACACATTATATGCAATGCACTGGTTATGGTTATCCCCACAGATGGAAGACCCAGTACCTGAACAAGAAATGTTGCCTATAGAGTCGTCACTTTCTGAGCATGAAGACATTTTTATGGATGCACCACCTATCCAGCCACAAGACATTCCATCAGCTTATGTACAACCAAATCAAGAGTATTATTGGTCACCTGAAAGGAAAGAGTGACAACCTTTTCAATGGGATGAACAATTAACACAACCACAACCTTTTCAATGTGGGCAAGCAAGCAGGCAGGAAAGAGGTCAAAGGTCCGTTGATTGTAGTAGTACCAGCAATAAGTCTCATGGATTTTTTTCCAACATATGATTTTGTGGTAGATGCACCTTCACCTTCCCAAAACAATCTGAGTCCAAACTTTGACTTAAATGAAGCAGCAACCATGGAAGATGTTCCTGTAAATGAGCATGATGTGTATCGACCAGAACCAATGTATGATGTTCTACCTGAGCAATGGTCTATGCCAATTAGCTCATGGGATTTCATTCCTCAAGAATATACAGACACCCACCCATCACAAAATGTCCAGCAGCCGAATCCTATACCAGATATGGATTTAACAGATGAGGACATAGACACTCAACGTGGTGTAGAGGATGCAGCTTAACCCGAAAGATAAAGAGGATTCCTTTCTCGTATGTTACGTCCATTTACACATCCTCCTAATAGATTTAGCCCTTCATTAATAAAGAAGAAAAAGGAAAAATGAGGATAATAATTCTGTATTTGTTTTAGTACTTGTCATTATGGTTTCTGTAATTTGTGTCGCAGTTGTTTCAGTACTTGTCATTAAGATTTCTGAACTTATGAGTTGTAATTTGTGGAATTGAAAATCAACGATGTTTTAGATTAAATTTCTAAACTTTTGATTAATTTTAAAAATTTGATTACATTTAAAGATCATTGACAAAGACCATAACAAAGTATACAATCGTTCATTATTAACAAAGTATGACACACCAATTTTACAAACACAGTATAAAAGACTACAACATTGATGTTAATCAATACCAACAACATAAACACACTAAAAAAGCATCACTATTAATCTTTATGAACTATGGCCAACAACATTAGGACAACAGGTACGACTATGATTTTTGCCTCAACATAGACTACAGTGTGGTGCTCGCCTCATTTGTCTCATATCCATTTCATTAATAAAACGAGTTGATTTGGGACGTCCTTTCAAAGTACGCTTTAAGGCGGGGTTGGGACAGAGCTTGGGACCTCGGTATTTGTGCCACTTTGATTCATTCCCTACAACCCCAAATTCTTTTTTGTAAACTTTACATACTTGATTGATGGTATAGACTTCATTCACATAAACATGCCAAACAATATTTTGACTATAAGAAGCAACAATTACGTGGTGGCATGGATATCGATCAGTTTGCAAGTTTCCACAGTCACAATAACTTCGTCTCAGATGAACTCGATATTCTTCGTTGTTGGATAAATCATGAACATGAAAAGCCTCATTGCGTCTGTCAAACTGCGTGACACGAAGCTTTCTTGAGCCATGCTCGTTTAATTGAAGACAACTTGTAATATTTTCTGAGAACAAATGTCTAACATTCTTCCGTGCATATGCCTCACTTCCCTTATGTGCAAATAACTGTGCCAGCCAGAAGTAAGTGGCTCTTATAAGTGCTGTGATAGGCAAATTGTGGGCACCTTTTAAAACAGAATTAATGCATTCAACGAGATTCGTCGTCATATGACCCCATCGATGTCCGTCATCAAATGCTAAAACCCACTTTTCTCCTAGTATTTCACTAAGCCAATCTTCATAAACTTATCCACGCTCCCGTAATCGTTGATAATGAATATTAAATTCATGCTCGGTTCTTGAGTAACCTGTAAATAACAAAATCAAATTTCATTAGCATAAAAAAGGTCATATAGTAATATATTAATAATATTATTTAAAATACAAAAATCAAGTTTATTACTCATTCAAACAATAAGTTTATGCAAGTTGCGAGCCTTAAATCTACGCAAGAAATTTACAGCAATGTGCCTAATACAATACATGTGGAATGCTCTTGGAGGTTCCCACTGGCCATTACTTCTTCTGATTGCTGCTATAATTGACTTGTGACGATCAGAAATCAACCCAATGTCATCTTTAGTAACGACATATTTCTGTAAATTTTCTAGGAAAAAACTCCAAGCACTACTAGAAAAGTGCTTAATATAGACGGATTTACAAACAAATTTGTGGATTAAATTTTTTTTTTTCTAAAAAATCTGTCTGTAAATCCGTCTGTATTACAGATGGATTTCAATCTGTCTGTAATTTGCCCGCCTCTTGGCGCAAAATATTATAGACAGGAATTACAAACAGATTTTTTCATTTGTAATTTGAAAATAGGAGGGAATGTTATAGCGGAAAATTACAGATGGATTTTTTCGTCTGTAAATATGGCCGTTTTAACCGACCTTTCAGGTGGCAAATTACAAATAGATTTTTTCATCTGTAAATGAAACTGACGAATTTACAGACAAAAAAATTTGTCTGTAAGGTACCACCTGAAATGCACCGTTTCATTAAACTCATTACAGACAAATTTTTTTGTCTGTAATGACTGAAACTCATAAAACTGCGTCTCCCCTTCCCCTTCCTCATTTCTCAGAATTCTCTCTCTCTCTCGCTCCCCCCCTCTCTCTCTTTCTAGGAGCTCAATGTTTTGGCCTTGGCGAGTGATTGGAGCAACCATTTGAAAGTTTGTTTACATCATTATATTCTTGATACGATACTCTAACTTTTAATCGGTTTAATTTTTTAATTTTTTATGTTTTTTAGAGAGTTAAAATTTTTAAGATAGAGTTGTAGGATTGGAGATTGTATGACTGGGGGGAAGGGCGTAGAGGTCCTTCTTTAAACCCGATTATTGTGTGCTGTGGGATTGTTTGTGTTTGTGAAGTTTGTAGAATATGCATGTTGTGGAGTTACAAGGGGATGTGCTCTAGAACAGTTTAGGATTGTGATGTGTTTATGTTTGATGTATCGATTAATATATTGTTATATAATTTATTAGTTTATTTTAGGTGAAATTTTGATTTTTGTAAAAAAAATGGTAAACAAATGTAAGGAAATTGACATGTATTAGGGGAGATTCTGCCAAAATTTATATTAAAAACTTTTGTAATGTATTTTAGAAGGTTGATACCACATTGTATATTTGTATTAGGTTTATATAGTTCTTGAGGAAGATGTTTCTTAAAAATCGTCAGTGGATGTATGATAGGTTGCATCCAAGTCGGGGTGGAATAAAACCTGAATTCTTTGAGGGTGTAGAGAAATTTATACGCGTCTGCTGTAATTCGCAGCAATTCATCACCAATTAGGTCGTTAGGTGTCTATGTTCTAAGTACAAGTATAGAAAGTTTTTGGATATTGATTCAATTAGATATAATTTGTATAAGTTTGGATTTAAACACGATTATTGGATATGGACTGAGTAGGGGGAAGTAGTTAATTTGGAAAATCAAGTAAGTAATTCAAATATATTGCAATCAGGTGAGGATGTAGGTAATGTAAGTTGAAAAGAAAGCAATAGTCGTTATCAAGAAATGGTTTATGATGTTGTTGGTCATCAATTTGGAATTTTTCATGATTTTAAAGCTGAACAAGAACCTAATGGAGAGGCTGCAAAGTTTTATAATGTTTTAGAAGCAGCAAACAAGCCTTTATGGGATGGGTGTGTGCATTCAAAGTTATCTTTAGCAGTAAGAATGTTAAGCATAAAGTCAAAAGACAATCAAAGTCAGAGTTCATTTGATCAATAGGCTACATTAATTAGTGAGCTTAGTCCTCAACCTTACTCCATCCCAAAGGACTTTTACCAAGCAAAAAAATTAGTTTCCAAACTTGGATTAAAAGAAGTCAAAATTGATTATTGTTTAAAAGGCTGCATGTTGTATTACAAAGATGATGTTCTTTTGACCAAGGGGTCGAATTGAAAGTGATGAAGTAAATGATGAAGATGCATATCAAATTGATGACTCAATCCCTTTATGTGTAGTAATAGACACTGTTGTCCCTCCAATTTTATCTTCTCCTTTGAATGAAATTGAAATAATTGACCCTCCTACCCAAGTTATGAGAAATAATGAAATGAATGACATCATAGAAGACGAGGAGGAAGGATTTATGGACGAACTTTCATCGAATGATGATGAAGGTAGTCTTGAACTATCAAAGTAAATGAGGTAAAGTAAGTATGTTTGTCAATTTACTATGTTTCTATGATTATTGATAATTTGAGTTATCACTAATATTAATCATATTTTATAGCGATTATAGTATTTGTCTCTAAAAATATATATGGTTTGATTCAGATATGGCAGGTAAAGGTAAGAAGGGTGTAACTCAGCGTCCTGGTCGTGGCAACACTTCTTCACCCACTGCTCTGACTTCGACCTCCACACCAGCAATAGTGCAGACCTCCCAGGTTAGGGGATAGGAGCAATTTATCATCGTGCCCAATCTTGGGCATATTGCTCCTCCCCCTCCAGTACAGCGAGTTTCACATTCTGCACCGCCTACTACACAAGTCACACAGTCACCTGCTACACAGGGCACAGGAGAGGGATCCACTGTTGTCACAGCTGTAAGCGGGCAGCAGTCATCACAGACCCAAGCATCATCGAGATCGTTAGAAACTTTGAGATGGGATGGGTCCACTTGGTAAGTAATTCAATCAAATATGCCTAACATTGCGTATTTTATGTGAATGTTAGTAGTTATGTTTTATTTTATTGTGTTATCAGTTGGATACCACCACAGAAAGGTCTCCACCAGGTCACATATACAATTAAAAAGATGTTTGATGTGCCTTACAGAAGTTTTGCAAAGGTGCCAAAGGATACAAAGATGGAATGGTTCAAAGATTGGAAGGTAATAATAGTGTATTAATTTTAACTAAGTGTAATTACATATAACTGTTTGTACCTCTTCTAATGAAATTGTGTTTATGTAGAGCAACTTCTCCATTCCCCCCAGGATGAAAAGATGATTTTCAAGGCTTGGAAGAGTCGCACTGCGAAGCGACTAAGACAGATATACACTGTGACTCGCCAGGACCCTTCTACTGTTGATTGGATAGCACCCAACTTTCTTCATGCCTTGCAGGAGTATTGGGATACAAATGAGTTTAAAAATCTCTCTGTAAAGAACAAGACAAATAGGACATCTAATAAGGGGGGTCACTGCATACTGGTGGGTCTATGACTTTGGCTGACACTAAGGTGAACTTGGTATGTGATTTTAAAATTCAGTTTACTCTATCTATAATTTCATATTTGAGATTGTGATTTATTTCCAATTGCAGGAGAAGTCGTTGAAAAGGCCACCTACGATTGGAGAGTTGTTTAAGGAGACACACACTTGCAGGCAGGACAAAAACCTGTGGGTTGATACACGATCCCAGGCCACATATGTAAGTCATTATTATTGATAATATATGTTATTATTAGCGACTTATTAAATAGTTCACCAAACTAATATCTAATTATCTGAACTGAACTGTAGGATGACTATGTTCAAAGGCTTGAGGAAGCATCTTCTCAGGATCTAGAGTCAATAGATGAGGATGTTATGTGGTCACAGACAGTGGGTGGCCTTTATAAAGGTCGCATTTATGGCATGGGAGGCCGCTTTGCAGACTCCATGTCTCCTGCATCTGTCACTAGAGATGCCCCTTCCCTTGCACCTGAGGAAGTGGAGGACATGGTCCGCACTCAGGTCCATGCCCTCAATGAAGAACTCCAGAAGCAGAATGAGGAGATGTGAAAGAGCAAAGAAAGTGCATGGAAGAAGAAGTGGTCAAAGAAAATGGAGAAGAAGATAGAGAAAAAGGTGACATCGAGAATGCAAAGGGAGGTCCAGCAGCAGATGAAGCAACAACATATGCAGATACAGCAGATGCATGCTTATTTTGAGCTCATGAGAGCAAGCAGCTCCACACCTCTTCCTCCTCCTCCACCAGCTCCAGCACCACCAGTTTTCACCTTCATGCATCATTCCTCTACTGACTCCTCGTCTACTGATGATGATGCTCCTTCGAATGATGACTATACAGATTATTTCTGATGAAGACTTGTATTTTATTTTTAAATGTATTTATTTAGATGTTTTTTTGTCTTCCTTTGTAATAACATTTAAACTTTATATTTTATAAATCATTTTGGAATGTTTAGATATCGAATCTATAGTTTTTATTTTGTTTATAAATTGTGATAATCAAGAACAGCAGGAAATAACTATCTACATAAACAAAAAATACCAATAATAGTAAAATATATCACGGACGGATTACAGACGAATTTTACCATCTGTAACTTACAGACAGATTTTTTTGTCTATAGGTTACAAACGGATTACGAGGATATTACAGACGATGCCATGTCTTGAAAGAATTTGACTTTTATTTACATGTATGGGTACGCAATTGAAAAGAGAATGTAGGCATTCCATTTTCATTTTAATGCAAAAGTTGTTGATTTATCTTTAAAAAATTGTTGAGTCATACTACCTTTTAGGCATAAATAATGTACACACTTGCCTGTATCTAAGGATAAAAATAGGTCAAGTCAGGCCAGACTTTATTCTAAATAGGTTTGACTTGTAACATAATTATTATGCTTGAGTCTAGTCTGTTACATGTTAAAGACTTGATTTTAGGTCTTGTCTAGCCTATTTAAGTGGCTTAACCTGACCTAAAGTCTGTTAACAATAGCTTGTTATAAAAAAAAATTAATATTAATAAAAATATAAATATTTTTCTAATTTCATCTATGTTATTAATAATTATTAAATAATTATAATAATATTTATATAATTTTATAAATAATTTTTAAAATATTATTTAAGCATTAATTATAAATATTTTATGTTAATAAAATTTATATTTATATTTTTCTTGATTTATTTTTTAAAAATAATTTAAATATTAAAGATTTTAGTTTTATTTTAGAAACATATTTTGTTTATTTAAAGACATCTTATATTTAATAAATAAAGTTATAGTAAACACATAAAATTGATTACAAAAAATAACATTCACACAATTTGTTAAATTAATTAAAAGAAAATTATTATGTTTTAAAAAATAAATAAATTTAAACTTAATATAATATATATATATATATATATAATGATAATAATAATAATAACTACTAAATTAAAAAAAATAATTACAAAATATTTAATTTTATTTGTTTCATGAATTTATTATTTTAAATTAACAAATAAACATAAATTAACTACACTATAACATTAATGTAATATACAAAATATTACTGATACAATAAATTAAAACATACTTATATATTACATATAAATTGATAAATTAACTAATAATTTAATTAAAACACGTACAAGTTACAAAAATATATATTATTATATAATATATTTATAATTATATTATTTATATTATTTGTTACATAGTCTGATTATATATATATATATATATATATATTAATATATATTATAATAATTTTTTATTTTATTTTCTTATTATTTTTTATAAATTTTTACTTTAAAAAAAATATAATTCATATTTAAATAATTTCTATTTATTATAAATAAAAAAAATTATAACATAATATATTAATATAATAATTGAATATTAATAATAATAAAATTAAAATATAAAAAATATATTAATAGAATATTAATATTTATATTTATATTTTAATTCATTTAGTTTTAACTGTGTCCTATTTCTGTTTAAGGACTTAAACTTTCTTCAACTTATTTAAATGTAACAAATATAATAATTTATGATTAAATATTTTCTTTAAACATGTGCAATTGTGTATAAATATTTTTATTTGTGAATATAATTTAAAATAATTATTTAAAATTTAACATATTTATATTTAGGTGTGTGACTATGTGTTATGGACCTGATATCTAATTTTCTTTTATAAGTACTTTAGTAAAAAAAATTTATACCAATAAAGTTAAAACACATAGTAAGTTATAAAAAGTTTATATTATTATACATAATTTATTTAAAATTATATTATTTATTATGTGGTCCTATTATATATATATATATATATATATATATATATATATATATATATATATACTGTATATTGAATTTTTTATTTTGTTTTTTATCAATTTTTTATAAAATTTTGGTTTTGAATAAAATATAATTCATATTTAAATAATTTTTATTTATTATAAAGAAAAAAATTAAACATAATATATTATTATAATAATTAAATAATTAAATTAATAATAATAAAATTAAGAGTATAAAAAATATATTAATATAATTTTATTATTTTATTTTTAAATTTTATTTTGTTTAGTTTTAATTCCTTCTTATTCCGGTTCAAAGACTTAACTATTTTTTAACTTGTTTAAATATATTAAATATGATAATTTATTATTAAATAAATTTATTATTTAAAAAGTGTAATCGTGTATAAATATTTTTAATTTTTAATAGAATATAATTTTTGTTTATTATAATTATAAATAAAAGAATTATAAAATATATATTATTAAATAACTTTTTTATTTAAATATATTTTGATAACTCTATTTTTAAATTATATAATATATATATTATGCAGGTAAGTCTGTCAGGTTTAACAGGCTTTATAAACAGCTCAAGCCTGACCTGTTTACTTAAACAAGTCTTAAAAAAAGCTTAAGCCTTATTTCTTTATTAAAAAAGTCAGGTCAAGCTATACCTAAATCAAGCCAGACCACAAACCTTGTTAGGCGGCTTGACTTGTTTCCATCCCTACCTATATCTTGTTAAAAATTTGTATATTTCAAACTAGTTAGACAGAAGTTAAGTTTATTGTACTTAAAGTATCATAATTTTTTTTTAATTCTAGTTTATGAAATATATCGTGTTAATCATATTGTTATGACATAATTTGGAATAAGTTTTTATATTAAAAAGTACTTTTATGATATATAATTTGTATTTTTTTTTTCAGATGTCATCTTTTAAATTTTTTAGAATAATTTTGAAACAGTTTTTTTAGTTTTAAATATTTTAATAAAAAATTATCTAATTATTAAAATTAAACATAATTATAATTCAAGTAGTAAAATTTTAATCAAATGCAAACACAAATAAATGACAAGGCACAAATTGAAGGCGAACTTGACCAAAAGGTCTGGTGTCAGTTGTTCAACGGCATATGAAGAAGTGAAATTGAAAATCATATAGAGAAAAAAAAACTATGTATCAAAACTATACTTTATTTGAAGAATTATATATAAATAATATTCCATGTGAGAAAAGACTGTCTAACGATACATGTTAAGAATTTTGTTCAAAATTTTAATTTTTTGGAAAATAATATCGATAAAAGTATTGTGGAAAATAGGAAGAAGAATGTCAACTGTAATGACATACGATCACAAAAGTCATTCATGTAACAGGTTCATGTTTCACTCGTTAATCGTATTTCGAACATGACTCGATGCTTAATTTTAGATAATACTCAGAAATTTGGACTTAATTACGGTTTGACCAATAACTTATAAAAGATTAAATCTAACAAGCATTTTGAAAATAAAAACATAAATTTAAATAAAATTAAGCCATAAATTTTGAAAAAACAGAAACTAAATTTAAAAGATGTTCAATGAGGTTTATTTTAAAACAAATTATATCAATAAAAAATTATGAACAGGATTAAAAAATATAGGAGCACTCTATCTGAAGGGACCACTTCAAAAGTCTACCCAAACCGCCAAGTGGCGCTGGCGCGAAAGTATAAATGCCGCGCCACCAGGGCGCCTTCTAAATTTCAATTACACTCTGAAGTCTGAACTGTATATTCCCTAGCGAAGTAGCGAGGCGGAGACTAGAAACGCTCAAACACTTCTCATATTTCTAGGGTTCCATTTCGAACTTCGCAATGCAGAAGAAGCTTGGATTCCCAATCTCCAAGAGCCTCGACCAATTCAAATCGTTGTACGGTTCTATACCCGGAACTGCGAAGCCATTATCTTCGCGTCCTTCCAAAGATTCCATTTCATCGGGGAGTTTTGCTAATCTGAAGCTCACCGCAGGTTTTAATCCGAATTTTCCTTCAATTTCCTGATTTTTCCTTTTTCTACTTGACGAAGATTATTCTGATAGGAAATTTTGATCGTAATATGACCATGCATCGTTGATTTCGTCGTGTGCAGAGAAATTGGTGAAAGAGCAAGCATCGGTGAAGACTGACCTTGAAAATGCGGTATAATAAGATTTTTATTTGTTATTGTGCTTGTGCTTTAAGGCGAGGAATGCACGCTACGTTAATATGTATATTGCTTAATGTTTGGTTTCGTTGTTTTATTGAACTGTTGTTGCTTTCTTGCTGTTCCTGTACAGAATGCTAAGCTTAAGAAATCGCAGGAGCATATCCATGCTTTAGAAGAAAAATTGCAGAATGCCTTTAATGAGAATGCCAAGCTCAAGGTCAAGCAGAACGAAGATGAAAAACTCTGGAAAGGATTGGAGTCTAAGTTCTCGTCTACTAAGACTTTGTGTGATCAACTTACTGAGACTTTACAGCATTTGGCTGGTCTGGTTCAGGATGGTATGAATATTCATTTTCCTTGTGTTTTCTATTTATTTTTTCTTTTTCTTTCTTTTATTTTTCCTTAATGAGTCAATTGTTTTTTCTTGCTGGTATAGCCGAGAAAGATAAGGAAACATTGGAAAATAAATTGTCGTCAAGTTCAGAAGCTCTTGATAGCTTGAATAAGCAGATGGATGGTTTGTCTTTGAAGCTAGATTCTTCTCTGGAAACAATTAGATCCCGTAAGTTCTTTTTGTTAATTTAGAACTTTGGTGAAAAGCTGGTTTGAAATGTAGAATGGTTTGATTTATTATATTTGTGATGTTCCAATATATCATATACTGTTATCCCTAATATAGGTGATAATGAGCTAGAGAAACTCAAATTTGCTACAGAAGAAAGGGAGAAGTTTCACAGAGATGAACAGTGCAGAGCTGCCACTATTGTACAAGAAAAGGGTGAGGATTAAATTGTAAATTACAATTGCTAAGAATTTATATGATTGTGTTTAATGTTTCATTTTATGGAATACAGGATTGCTTGGTAATGTGTAGTTAAACAGTTTCAGATTAGGGTGGTCATTAGTAAACAATTTTGGTCCACTACGGTCATGAGTTGAGTTTATTTATCTATATATATACACATATATAGGTGCATACAGCAATATTATGATCGTAGTTGTCTTTTCTTTTCTAACATTAATGGTTTATTATTATCTTATTCAGTACTTATACTAGCCTTTCTTTAATGAATTTATTTTTGGGAATGTTTACTGTCACTTCCATACTTAATAGAAGGTTCCATAATGGAACTCTAGTCATAAGCAGTAGAAGATTCAGCACAATGTAGTGACGATCCCCTCTGAGTACATTTCAAACCTAGAAGGTGTATTGGCATTAAGAGTTGTAAAATTCCTTTGGTCATGCTTATCTAAGGTAAGGATACTTGCACTTGGAGCTGATAATAAGTTAAAGAGTATTGAGTTGAATTGAAGAGTAGACTTATATTTCTGTATGTCTTTCTATATCTATTTATATCATGTACATAGTTTATTTAGATTGTTAATGGAACTTTTCAGTTTTCATCTAAATGCACAGAATTGTAGTAAACAATAATAGTAATGATTTATAATCTATCCTATTATATGCTGTTATCACAATTCACTCATTTCATTGATGTTGGTTGAAGAATGGGATAGTACATATTTGGAACAGAAAAAAATACAATATATACCTCTGTTTGAACAATTCAACAATTACTTGAAAACATAAACGCTGTAGATCAACATGTAACCAGCAACTCTTATGATGTTTGAGCCCTCATTCAGTCATTCTATGCTTACATTTAAAAAAGAGCTAACAAGTAAACTAAGTCAACATTTTATGTGCTAGAAGCAACCATTTATCACCAAGAGCTCATATAGGCACAAACCACTGGGCGGAGAGAAAAGCAAGAAATTTGTAATAAATAACCTAAGGTGAAATCAGTTTAACTCTTACTGCAAAATACATATATCCTTGAAACTATGTGATATGCATGATATAAGGCAATCAAAACCATGGAAGTTAATAGGAATATTTTTTCCTTTTCATTTTAGAAAAGTGAAGTTGTAGCAAAACATGATTGAACATAGAATATAGGAGGAAACTAAGATTAAAGAAAATCAATTTGGTTTTATGCCAGGAAGGTTTACAACAGAAGGTATATATCTTTTACGAAAGATGACGGAAAGTTATCGCTACAAGGAAAGAGACTTACACATGGTTTTTATTGACTTAAAAAAGACATATAATGGAGTACCAAGTGAAGTGTTATGATAGACTTTAGGAAAGAAAGGGGTTTGTGTAGCATATATTCGGTCTATACAAGACATGTATAAGAGGGTAATTACATGTGTGAGAACTTTTGGAAGCGTACCTAAAGACTTCCCAGTAGGAATAGGTTTACATCAAGGCTATGTTTTGAGCCCTTGTTTAATCTTATTTTAGATGTGCTTACATATGACATACAAATGATTATCCTTTAGTGTATGCTATTTGCAGATGATATAGTGTTGGTCGAGAAATTGAAAGAAGAAGTTAATGTTAAACTTTAGTTATAGAATGAGACTATAGAATACATGCATTGTAGGTTTAGCAAAAAATAAGATGAGGATCATATGTTAAAATTTAAACTTGGAGATAATATTATACCACAAATTGTTAGTTTCAGGTACTTGGGATCGATTATACAAAATAATGAAAAAATTAATGATGTTAGTTAGAGAATACAAGTTGGGTAGTTAAAATAGAGAAAGACATCGAGAGTTATTTGTGACCGTAAAGTACCTATCAAGCTGAAAGAAAAATTTTACCGTACGACAATACGATTGACTATTCTTTATGGTAGTGAGTGTTGTGTTTTAAAGGAACAATATAAGAAAAAAGTGGGAGTAACAAAAATGAGAATGTTGAGGTGGATGAGTGGATACATGAGAAAGGACAGAATACAAATAATAGTATATGATAGAATATTAGAGTAACACTTATAGTGGAAAACATGGGTAAAAATTGTTTCTAAGATATTTTAGTCATGTGCAAAGAAGACCTTTGAAAGGCGTTAGTAAAGAGAGTGAATTGCATAACTCTTAGTTTGATAAAGAGGGGTCGAAAGAGACCCAAAAGAACCTTAGACGAAATTATTAAATAAGACATTTTGATTAACTAAATTTCTAAAAATTTAATTTTTGATCGAACTCAATGAGCCGTGTGTTTCATGTAGCCAACCTCCCCTGATGAAATAAGGTTTAGTGGTGGTGGTTGTATTTTAGAGAAAGCTATTGCAGGGCAAGGTTTTGAAGTTATTAATAGTGCTTGTACCAATGTCGAAAAACACAAGTTTTCGGAAGAGAAAGATAAAATATAATATATTTGAATAGAGAGAATACACTATATTCATTAAGTTCTTAGAATGTTTCTATACCTCGTTTTATACTGGTATCACAACTAAGTACATGCATATTCTTTGCTTTAGGTGTACTACAATTAACAAATTATTATGCATAAGAGTTCTTGATTGCTTAATGATATGATATATTCCCTAAGAACAAAGATGTGAAAGTAACTGATGTTTTAGCTTAAAAATAACATTATTTTGATATCTAACGGAAAGATTGTATGATAAATGTCATGAGAATAAAATAATATCAAGTGGCTTTCATCTCATGTCATACTGGGGTTAGTACTCTGTCTTTTGTATCACATCAAATTGATCAGTTTCAGATTATTGAGTCTCATTTCTTCCTTACTTAAATCCTCATAATTTTCAGGAGACTGAATATCCAGTTCCGCCAACTTGCTACTGATTTGATTTGAATGCTAATTTTTTTACAGATACAATGATAACAAATTTAGAAGAAATGTTAACAGCTAGTAAACTGGCTACAGAGAATTTGAACTCAAAGTTGGGAGAGGTACACCATCAGTTAAAAGTCAAAGAAGATGAAAATATGAATCACATAACCAGTCAAGAGAAATTGGAGAAAGAAAAGAATGATCTTCAGTTGAATAATGCTGGGCTTACTGAAAAACTCAACATGTCACTTCAGGAAATAAAAAACCTGGAAGGATCAATTCAGGCATTGGCCGCACATTTGTTAAATTTAGACAAAGAAAGCCTGAACCTTTTGAGCAAGTTTGATGAAATGAACTTGGTCTATGGTTCTTGCTTCAAATTGCTTCAGCAAGAGAGGGAAACATACTTGAAGCATGCTCAATACAAGTATAATGATCTTAATAATAATTTTTTGATCTTGGCATCAGAAAAAAATGTAATTGAAATGAAAAATTGTGAGTTAAGCAAAACTGTGAATGAACTTCAGAAAGTCCAAGAGTCTACTATAGCTCAACATGTGATGCAATCTCAATTAGCTGCTGAGAGAATTCAAAGTTTGGAGTCAGAAGCTGAAACTTTAATCTCAAAAAATGCAGAAGCAGAGGTCTTCATTTGCAAATTAGAGGAGAAAGTTGAAAATCTGTTAGAAAGTTCTAGATCATCAGACAACAAAATGGTATGGCAACTAAGCTGCTCTATTTAATTGTAACTTAATTTCCTATTAACATACATTTTCTGGTACTTTATTGAGATAGCTAATGCTTTGCAGCAAAGTTTATTGCTGAAGGTTTCAGCATTAGAGACTGAAAACAAAGAAAATGAAGAAAGACTGCAGGCAGATTTATTGAAGAAATCAGAGGAAATAGATACTTTGCAAAAGGAGAGAATGAAACTAGAGCAGCATGCAGATTCTCTTGATAAAGAAGTCATCCAGCTTCATAATGTCTTAGATGAAAAAGAACAGTGTATTTTACAGTATAAGGAACAGGAAAAGAAGCTTGAAGATCAGATCACAGAGGTTTTGGAGCAAACATATAGCGCATACTGCCTAATCCTAACTGACTTTTTTGTATTACTTAAGGTTTCTGCATGACTTTGCAGAATCAATCATTATTGACTGCCGCTGAAAGTAAACTTTCAGAAGCTAAAAAGCAATATGATCAAATGGTAGAGAATAAGCAGTTAGAATTATCAAGGCATTTGAAAGAAATATCTCAGAGAAATGATCAGGTCTTACATATAACCGGTTACCTACCATAGGTGCTTGATGTATTGTGCACTAACTTCACATGAAAATTCCATTATTTTAACAGGCTATTAATGACATTAAGAGGAAGTATGAATTGGAGAAGATGGAAATTGTCAACATGGAAAAAGACAAGGTTTGACATGATATGCTGGCATTTTAGCATATAATATCCATTGACACGTTTCTGACCAAATTGAACCTTCAGGCTCATAAAGCTATTGAAGAAATTGAGGGAAAGTGTGGCCAAAAACTTGCAGAATGCAAAGAAGAATCAAGGCAGCAGTTGATCCACATTCAGGAGGAACACACTTTGTTGGTATGCGAACAAAATGACTAGAAATTGAAATTATGGACTACTTAGAAGTATTCTGGGTTCTAGCATTGCATTTTCTATTACATGTGATTATAATTGGTCTGATTTGTCTTGGCTGGTACTTCTAATTTTGTATGTGTTATTTTCTTCAAATAGTCCTGTTTAAATAAAGTTAATTTGTGATTAGTTATTGTTAGAGATGTTATATAAAGTCATTCACGTGTCTTCACCTAACAGCTTAAGCTTTAGGGATATTTGATTCATAGCGAGGTGTTGAAGCCTCTATGGCTAAGCGATCTAGAGCTCAATCCTTTCTGCTTTTATTCTTTTAATGAAGGGTTGAATTTCAGCTCATAGTTGGTGGACTTGTGCATTATCCATGGTTCAAGCCCAAATGAATCTTGCTTGCATGAATGGCATGTTAATATAAAATCACGCATGTGTTTTCACCAGACAACTTAAGTTTTTGGGATATTTAATTCATGATATTAATAATTACTATATTCAGTTTATTATGTAAATGCATCAAAATTTCAAGTGATTGTGTAAATTGGTCCAAGTACATTGAAGCTTGTCTTTGAGTATTATTGTCATCTACTCTTTTTTTATGGGGTATGTACCTCCCGTGACTTGCAGGAATGTTATTGCATCATTACTTTTCTTTTGATGAAATTTTCTTAACATTAAATTGCAAAACTTCCAGGCACTAGGTCACTTGATTTCATTCTCAATTTACAGGTAACTCAAATGCAGCAGGAGCAGGAGAAGAGGCAACTAAGCCTGATAGCTGAACAAAACGAACAACTAAAGCGTAGCCAACTGGAAGCTGAAAATGAACTCAGAGAGGTGCAAAACACACACACACACTTACGTCTAAGTGAAAATTTGTTTAAAAATTACTTCTCCGAGTAACTCCTTGACTATATGTAGAAAACAATGTTTCTGAGGAATGACCATGAAGCTCAGATAAAAGCATTGAGGTGTGAACTTGAAGATGAGTGTCGGAAGCTAGAAGAGGAGTTGCATCTTCAGAAATCCAAAGTATGGAATACCAGATATAATAATTAATTTCATCACTACTTTTACTACTATTATTTTTGGAATATATTGCAGGAAGAGAGGCAAAGGGCTTTGTTGCAGTTGCAGTGGAAAGTGATGAGTGACAAGCCAAAAGAGGACCAAGAAGTGAATTCAAAACAGGTTTACTAGTGTTTCCAATCTCTTTGCCTGTGTCGGTCTCCAAACTCATAGATGTCATATTGGTTAATTTGCATGTTTGGATACCTTGGGTTTGACATATTACATTTATCTTTCGGTAGGCACAGTTGAGGAAAAGAGAAGACATTGCATGTATGATGTTGTAACTTAATATTCTTTTATAATTCTTTCAACAAAAGTCTATGAATTATGAAAATGCATAGCAGGGTGATGCAAATAAGGAACCAATGTCAACATATGTATTTTCTTCATTGTAATGTTGTCACTTATAAGCAAGCATAATCTGGTTACTGATAGCATACTTATTTAATGACTATTTATTGACATGCTATTAGATAGATTTAAGATTTAAATTTAAAAGTTTTATTAATGATTTTGCTCAACACAGACGGAAAGATTGAGACAGATCTCCAAAGGCTTCATGTTGGAGCAGAAAATATTGTGTTTTTATTTTTTTAGGTGATAGATATTAGTTTGGTTGTTATCTGGTATTGGTTACTGTAATCACATGTCATTTCAAGCTCCTTATTATCTTAAAGATGAACGCTAGAGAAAGTAATGGCACTTACTTGCTAGTGAATTCATGAGTATAAGGTTATTGCAATATTCTCTTTTCTATTCTGATTTCATATATATGCTAGAAAATTCTCCTGAAAGATGGATTATGAGTGACTAAGATCTTAAGCAATTTCCATTTTTGGAAAATGCAATGAACATGTGAAAATGATGACAATCTGGTAGATAGGTGTTAGAATACATTAGCCAGAGTTCATATGATAGGATTTCTATTGAACATGCAAAATTAGCATAATGTTTTTCATATGATAGGATTACTCCATTTCATCAATTAAAAGAAGGAGTTCTTGTGGTGGCAAAAGAAGGCAGCGTGAACTGGTAAGAATGGAATTTGAGAAAATGAAATATTACTTTATCCTTCCTTCATAACATGTTAATATAATGATCTCACCAAGTCACCTAATTTTTTATCCTTCCCCCTTTTCATAGGACTCTCCTTACTTTGAAGCAACACAGACACCAGTGCCAAAGTTGTTGAAGAAAATGGAGAATGTGAAAACAGGAAGTGCAACGAGCATTCCTAACCATCATAGAAAGGTGACTTGTTTCTCTATGAACTTATGGCCCAGAGGAAGGAAACTTATATTGCAGCAATTACATAGAACTGATGAGCTTATACAGATATCTAACAATGGCGTGAAAAGAAAGTAGAAGTAAATAACTTATGATATTTGGAAATTCCCTTAGCTCCTTAATGGGCAGGTAACTCGTCACGAATACGAAGTTGAGACTTCTAATGGAAGAACTATTACAAAGAAAAGGAAAACAAGAAGTACTGTCATGTTTGAGGCATGTATCTGTTTCTCTATATGCTATTAACACTTACATTTACACATGAACTACATTATCACAGAAGATCTCTTGACTTCCAAGTGAAGACTTCTTACATGCTGTAAATATTGAATTTCTTATCCTTATCAGGACCCCAGAAATCAAAAGATTAATACCCCAAAAGTAAATACCCCTGGAAGTATTGTTAAGGTAATCAACTCAGCTAAATTTTCTCTTTTATCAGAATGTCATGTATGGCTTTCTCTTAGCATTATTTCTTTAAAATATCAAGGTAGAAAGCTCTTAAACTTCAACAATTTAATTTTCATTATTATACAATTCTGATGCTACCAGAAATAACAATGGTTAGGAGCTAATATAGCCTTGTTAGTTTAAAGATTATATTTAATCCAGTTAATTTTTTTGAAATTTGAATCTTTTCCTTGTTGATTATTTGATGTGTAAACTATATAGCTTTTCTCAGTAAATGCAAGGTTGTAATTAGTTCTATAAAAACCTTATGCTTTTAAATATTCTTAGGTCCAATTGTTTTGCCACAATATGTATTGAGTTGTTGCATCTAATGCCTACCAAAATGGTACAATTAGAAGCGTTAGAATATACAAAAATATTCAGAATTATTTAATTACATCTTATCATATCTCATGTTATCCTCCAGGATTAGTTTGCCCATTTCCTTGTTATCTCTTAAGATTAGTTGCCATATTTTGTTATCATGATTCATTTCTTTAATTAATAATTTGTATAAATTGGAGTTAGTGCTGTAAGTTTTATGAATATCCCATCACATTGTAAATTTATTATGCATCTCAATTAATATCAATAATCTTTTTATCTTTCTTCGTCCATCCCTCTATACCTAAAATACCATAATTTCAACAAAAGCAAAAAGACAAAGGGTTTGTGCTGAGATTTTTTTTTTTCTCCTTTGGTTTCTAAAAGAATTTAGGATAAACTGATGGGATATTAATCTTTGAACAATTGTACAAACTTTTGTTTAAGGTGACAAATAAATGTTTCTCCATATGCTTTGCTTATTCCCTGGGTGCTGTAGTAATAGCTTGTAAATAATTTTACTTTTTTACATCACATTGATGCAGAGCATCAAAGGTGGAGGACATCCTCATCCTTCAAACATCGGTGATTTATTTTCAGAAGGGTCTCTCAATCCATATGCAGATGATCCTTATGCATTTGATTAGAGGTATTTAGAAACAATTACTGTAATCCTAAATTTTATTTCCTTTGAAATATGACGCTTCTTCCTAGTTCCTACGAAAAGCCATAAGAACTAAAGCCCATTCAAAGCTTCCTATGCACTGTTTTAAGATATGCTTAAATTAAAATAGACTCCATGCAATGACTGAGTACTGTTCCTTGCAATTCAATAATTTGTTGTCTCAGACTCTCGGTCATAGCCTCTACCAGGGAATAAATACCTTGAATTTGAATTACAGCCCACAGTTACTTGGTTCACTTTTATCCTCTTTTCAGTTACATTTTTGTCTCCCATAAACCTAGAATACTATTGGAAAATGTGTACTCTATATGCTGTGTCCTTCAACCACATGAAAATTTTAGAAGACTAATTTTATAAGAGTAATTGCATACCTATGTTACATTATGCAAATTACACCGTCAGCACATTTCCAGTTCTGAAATATTAGCTAATGAACTAATAGTTGGCTAAAGGCTTTCTTATGGTTCATAAAAGTGTAGTCTACTTGAGTGACTGTCCCTTTTTCCTTGACTGCTTTTTGATTTTCCACTGGGCATGGATTGCTATTTTCTTGAATACCATTACAATATATAAGTTATAGATTAAGATACAGTTGTATAGGACCCAAAAAATAGCCAAGCTGAGTTGAAATTGAACAATATTATCATAGTTTCTTAGGATTGTTAGTAGATCTTATGAGTTCCGGTTAATACCTTTTTTGTCACTTCGTTTTTGGTAATTTTGATACACAGGCACCTTGAATATGTTACATGGCAGGTTGTTCACCAGGTATTGGTATTACCCCACAGTTGGAAAAGAGAAGTTGCCATTCTTTGTTTAGATTGAGGAATTATGACATGAATTAAGCATATTATTTGTTTATCCTACATTCAAAATTCACTTCGACAAGATCATCATCCCCGCTCCCTGGATTTTGTAGGACTAGAATTTTATCCATTTCTCTGAATAAGTTTGTCTGGCTGGCAACAGCTGCCCTTGATCAAATGGAATGAATGTCTATGGATTTGGCGCCTTTCTTTGATGTATAAACTATCTGAAACTTTTCTTATCTTTCAAATTTAAGATTATAGCAAAGCTTTATACCTAATCCCTATTATATGTATATGCCCCTCACCCCTTTCTCTCTCTCTGCGTGCATGTGTGTGATACTCATTGTAATGTGTGAGAGTAGGGATTTAACTTGCGACCTAGCAATTCATTTCTTTTGAAGGGTACCTACCAATGGACTACTCGATTGATCCATGGCTTCTATAACTTTCCATTTTATTTTTGCTGCTCAGGATCGACCAATATGTGAATAGGTCGGAAAATGGAATGAAGATTGAAATCATCAAGCTGGAGTAAATTCTATTTCTTCTGGTCAGACTCTACTGCAGCCGACGACAGAAAAGAGCAAGTGGTGGATCTATTCAAGTGATATGACTATATGTTAGTTCCACCTTGTGATTTGTTAAAACAAAATTGCCAGCTGTTTGCGGAGTCTGTCTCTATTGAACGGGCTTGGAGATTGTTTTGTAAATGAAATGTCACTATCATATCACGAATAATTTCATGATATATGGAACATGGCTGTAAATTGCACTTTGTATATATGGACTAAAAGTTAGTTAATAATTACGTAATTAATATATAAGAGTTATACTTTAGCTCTTAGTTTAAATATCTATAAATAAAAAATTTATTAAAAAATATATATTTATTATATTAAAGTTAAAAAAATATAATAAATAATTTTTTAATGAAATTTTACTATTACTTGCTTATCTAAGTCTTAAGAATTATTGATAGTTTTTTTTATATTAAATTTCATCAATTCAACTGTTATTAAAAAATTATAAAATAAAATTAAAATTAACTATATCTACGAGGATTGAAAATATATTTATCCAATTTTAACGAACACTAACAATAAAAGAGGTAATTTCATCCACGGATAGCTTATTACATATAAGTTAAATGCTCAATTATCAAATGAGAGGAATCATTCAAGACTATCTCATCATTAAGATGCTGAGTTACCCAGATTCTCACCGGAATGAATGTGTATAAGAAAACAATTATTAGGACTGCTCCAATCATTCTTTTATAATCTATGACCGGCCAATTTCTTAGTCACATTTATCGCCTAAAACCCCACCACTATACTGTCTTAATTAATTAATTTTTATTGGAGCAAAAAATTAAAAAAAAAAATCTCCATATTAACCCAAGGCAAGTTAAATTTTAAATCAGAGCAATATTTTGTTTTTACTCAAAACCTGATTTAATGGCATGACTCAGCAACATCCATTGACATGACATGCATTAAGCGTAGCCTAAAACCATACAAGAAAATAGCCTGAGCGGAACTACAAGAGACCAAAGAAGAAGCTTTGGGAAGTTGGATTGGTTCACGCGTAGAGACACAGATCAACGAGGTTTGAAGAAAAAGAGCAAGAAGAAGGTCCAAAGAGTGAGCAACAAGAGGAGCTGAACAAGTAGCTCAAAGAAGGCGCAGAGCTTTATGCTGGCGTTTTTGAAACGCTCCTTCAGCAACTGAATCTTCAGGTCATGAATTTCCCTCTTCCACATCGCCTGAAAGAATCAATTAGAGAAACAGAGAAAGAAATTGAGTAGGTTAAGGGTATAGTATAGAGAAGAACCTGTTGTTCTTCGGAGTTGGTGGATTTCAAGGCATAGAGAAGCAATGCGGCTTTTCCGCAGCGACGCAGTGTCGTTTCCGATTTCACACACTTCTTCTCATCCTTTTCCATTGTCTTACACTCTCCCTCTCGCTCTCACTATCTCTGGCTATCTCTGCTGCTTTTTACTTTTAATATCACAATCGTGCCCAAAATTTTCTTCTCTGACACGTGGCTTAACAAACATTCTCTCTTCCCGCCCCCTTGTTTCAATTTTTCTTTTTGTTTAACATATAAAAATAATAAACGTTATTAAAAATTATTTATTATATTCTTTTATTTTAATGTAATATATATTTTTTATTAAAATTTATATGATATTGAGTTCAATAAATTCATATTATGAAATATAATATTTTTAAATAAAATTCATTATTTATTAATTTTTTATTCTGCGCTCTTAAATATATCACGTTAAATAATTATTTTATCAATTCCAAGAGATTCTTTAAAAATATTGAAATTTTAAAAAGAATTAAACACGTGCTTATTCCTTTTTAGCAGAGACTTTAAAATTGTAATGTCACGATTACAAGTGCAATTTAAAATTAAATCATACTTGTATAGTTACCCTTGTTAATTTATTACTGTTGCTACTTTGGTAGAACCTTGTTATTTACTTGTTATTGAGCCCGAGTTACTTTATCTGTTGATGAATTTGTTGTGTTAATATGTACACTGTCTATTTTCTCATTTATTCAACTGTAAAACTAAATTTTTTATTTTTTATTTTTTATTTTTTTGTGTGTGCAGAAAGGATGAAATTACATGCGAGGAGCAGGCATTGGTATGGCATATCCTATCCTCTAGCTCTGGCGAGGCTATCAAAAAGGTTAAAGACTCATTGTTCACCATTTAATTGAGCCAGAACTACCGTGGCATGTTGAGCTTCTCAATTACCAAACACACAACACTACCATGCATGCACAAGTTATTTAAAAAGTAAAACATTAGCTCAAAAAGCTAAGTAAAAGTCAAAAGATAAAAGTTAATTAATTAATTAATTAAACTAAAAGTGTTTGACAACTACTTAAGAAATATATAATAGATAAACAGTATAATTAATATTCTTGACAAAAATTTATTTTAAATAATCATATACTTTTTAAAATAATTATTAAACTTCATATTTAAGTTTTTTAAAATTATTTACCATCTTAAAAATTAGGATTTTTTTTCAATTTTATTCTTATTTAAATATTGTTTATTAAATGAAATTTGATAGTATAAAAAATCATATTTTAAATTTTTCAATTTTATGTTATAAATAACTAAGATTTGATGATTTTGTTAAATAAAAATATATAAAAAATATTATATTTTAGTAGTTTTAAAAAAAATTTGTGAGGTGTTTTGAAAATTGAACATAATATAGAAAGAGATATTGTATTTTTAAAAACTAAATAGATAAAAGCGGAAATATAAAAGGATATAAAAAAAATGAAAACAGAGTAGTATTTTAAAAAATGTTAGCAATTGTTCATTTTATTTACTTTATTAAATAAATTTAGGTGAATGTTATAGTATTCTTAAACTTTTGAAAAAATATTTTATATCATCTTTAAATTTGTAGTTGTAATTTTTTTAATATTGTAGAGATTAAATAATTTATATTTTTTCCTAAATAAACTATCAACTCTACTGTTTATTGATATAGAATTAATCATGATAATTATTTTGGAGATTATAAAAATTACCTCCTAATTTATAAGGAATCGTTAGCAAATTTATGTTTGTTACACAAATATTTCGTTAAAAAGACTAAACACCTTGTAGTAGAGAATCATAGCTATCAAGCCACACACCCTAAGCTATGAACTTCTAATTCAACAATTACAAGGCATTATTAGACTTTATCTCTAGAGGCGCTTCACTCACTCACATTCAAACTCTATATATAGAAGAAGCTGACCCTTACATCACTGGGTAAGAGACATTTTCATATATTGTTACTCTACTCAAATTCTTACTAACTTCTTTTCTTTTAATGTGAGAATGCCTTTATATGTTCTCCCACCACTGAACACTAAGCATTCTCCAATAACTTCCATCATCATCCAATAAACATCAACCTTTGTTCTACTTTGACTTGACTGGATCAAAGCATTCGCCAAATTCCCGTAGCAAGCCAAAGCCTGCTCAAAAGAATTAGGAGCATGCATGTTTCAAAACCTTCCTTTATTTAACATTTATAAATTATCTTTTTTTATTTAGTAATTTCTTTTTTTTTTAATTTTAAATTATAAAATGCATAATATTTATCGAGTATCTTACTTTAAAATAAAGGAAAACTAAATTCTCCCAATAACTATATGCATGAGATCGTAACCTTTTTAATATATGCTATGATATAATATCTTGTTTGCAAAAGAAAGATATCGTATTATTAAATTTTAAATTTCTATATTTGCATCTAAGATAGAATTAATGGATATAGATGAACGATTTTTTTCAATTATTATGATCTTAAAAACGCATAAAGAAGGGGAAAGCTAATAAAAAAGGAATACATCTCACACGGTTTTCTTTGATTTGGATAAGTGTCTTTCCAACTAGAAACCAACAAAGTAAGAGGTAGGAGATAGTGAAAGGGCAACTTCTTTGATATTAATGAGGTAGACCACTAGAGTTGCCTTCAAAAAATTAAAATACACTGCTTTTTCTTTCTCGTCAAAAATGTTAACCTGGTTCATAGAATTCATGATAAGTAAAAAAAAATTGTCAATTTTTATTTAAAAATTATTTATTATTCCGAGAATGAAAAATATAATAAATATTATATTGTTTTAATAAAAAAATACTATTTTATATTTTTAAACTTATCTAAAATTTATTGTTTACGACTACTAAAATGATATTTTTTAACTAAATCGATCTCCACCGGTCTAAGAAAATATAGGATTTAAATTTTATTTTTTAGTCCAAATTATATATAGGCTTTTTTAGCTTGATCGGATTATGTTTAATGTGGATTAGGCATGTAAAAATTGAGGTTTAGTCATTTTTAAATATTATTTTGGCAACCTTAAATTAAATTTGGACATTTTTAATTGGACCCGCTAAAACTCATCTACAGTAGATTGGTTCAATTGGACTGAATAGCTTGTTTTATGAGTTCTATTATTTTTATGAAAAATATTAATTTTAACTTTTAAGGTTTTTTTAAATAAATAAACAATAATAATAATAAGTATTTCTTAAAAAAATGTATGGTGAATAAAACGAAAAATTAGAAAGGATAAAATAAAAAGAAAACCATATTTATATAAATTAAATTTTATTTGAGTAAAAATTATTATATTACATACAAAATTTTACTATAGAATTTTTTTAAAAATAAAACATCGTTGCTTTATATTTACACTACTTGTAAAAATGAAATATGTTTCTGTTTTTTCTTTCTTTTCAATTAATTCTTCATAAAATGTTATTTATTATTTTATTATTGGTCTCCAAAAATTAAAAGAAAAATTATAAATTTTACTAATTAATTTTTTACTTACAAAACAATAAATGCTAAATGTTTTTATTATTTTAAAATATTGAATACATCAATTTTTGTGAAGAGTAGGAATAGAAAATGAAAAAGAAATTCTAGAAAGAATTTCGTAACTGCAGCAGAGAATTATCCATCGCCTCAGACGATGAAGCATTCCATAAATGCGGCTGACTCGGTAGTTCCTCCATCCAAAAGGAGTTTAGCATTTTTATGAACAAACTAAAGATCAGTTTGTGTCTCACACACTAAAGAGATGTTTAAAGAGTTTTCTTACGTTTTATATAAGTGCCTCATATTTTTTGCTAAATTTCTAAATTTATGTTATATGTTTTATAGCAAAATTTATTAAAATTAAACTTTTTGTAAATTAGTTTAAGACTTTATAGTCATATTTATGATTGAATTTTGATTTGTGTGCTTTTTCTTTATTACAATTTTAATCTTTGTATTTTAGGTTATTCTTTATTTCAATCTCTTTAATATTAATTGTTCACGTATAGTTTTTAAAAATATGTAATTATTCGAACTAAGTCTCTTACATAAAAAAAAATTTCAATAATATAAATATGATAAAATATAATATACTATATATTTATATAAATTCACAAAAAAAATATAAAAAATTAAATTAAAAATAAATATATTTTATACATATTATTTATTATTTTTATTTGAATAATTTATGTTTTTTTTATTAATTTATATAGATTAATAAAATGTTATACTTACTTTTTCTTAACTACTTGTCTTACATTTTTATTAATTATTTAAGATACCTTAATATAAAAAATTAATTTAAATAATCAAAAATAAAAAACACTAAATATGAAATATTAAACTTAAATGGATCAAATGTAGACATAATTAAAATATGCACTAAAAATATAATTAAACTAAAATCATTTTATAAAAATGATATTTTATTTTAATAAAATATATCAATATGTAAATATTTCTATTTCTTAACCAATATTCTACAAATACTCGTTACAGTATTCTTCATTTATTATTGTCCATCGACATATTAATCCATCTAAATTCAAGAATCAATGCACTACTACTTAGCTGACAATAAACTTACTACTTAGTTCTCCCTTTTTCTTGAATTTTATAACTGAGTATTTAATGTGGAATACGTAAGCATCAACTATTTATTGTTGAATATTTTTAAATTTTCCTATCGTTTGTTTGATATTTATTTTATAAAATAGAAAAATTATTAAAAATATTTTTTATTACGAAATAGGAATTTATATATAATATTTTTTTATTAAAATATAGAATTTGAAATATTAATACTATTAAATGTTATTTTTTCAATAAAAATTATTATTTATAATATATAGTGTTATATTGGTTAAAAAATTATTAAAAAAATATAACAAAACCAATTATTACTTCGCTATCTGGAATTTATGGAGCAAGAAATGTAAATGAGTATGACGCTACACCATAACGCTCAATACGCATTTAATGTGAATGAAAACGTATTATAACCGACGTAAGCTAATTAATGCAATTGCTATTTTTCAGATATTCATTTGCTGTCATTAATTATAGTCTTTTCTCCACTTCGGGTGGAGTGATGATCAAGGTCATTACAATTAGATTAGCTAATTTTAGACGAAAGGGTTATCATAATCTCACTCACAACATTTCCAGTTACACGAATTTTTAGGTACTTAGTTTTGCACTTTTTATACCACTATTTATTTAGCTTCTTATTTTTATTTTGTATAAGTAAAATATATATTATTAGAGAAAGTTTAAAGAGAACTCAAAATCTATTTACATAGAAAAAAAATTATTTACTCAGAGAAATAAAAAGTAAAAATATATTTATACAAAACTAAGACGGATGCAATTTCGTGAGTTCAAATACCAATCAGCTAACAAAATAGTTTCTCCCTTACTAACAAGTGATAATCATTTCTAGGACCTCAGAATAATAGAATCTAGGACTTCCCTCTCATCCAAAACACCATTAGAAAACACAATTCTATTTCTATGTAACCACAAATACCACACTGTATTTACCAAATAATTAATAAGCATATCATTCTCTTTTACTACAGTCAATATCAACCTAAGAAAGTAAGTGAGTCAATAAATCTGAAGGCAAAACTAGTAAGAATTCAAGCCAATGCACAGTAAAGTACTAGATTTGAGATGAAACTGAACACGTTAAAAATAAATAAGTTAAAAGTTTTTCAAAACCATGACAGAAGCGACAAGTTATTCAATACAATTTATTTAGCTTCTCATGATAAATGCGTACTTTCAGCTATTCAATACCCTTTACTGTTTTTAAGGTAAGCTAAATTGTTTTTTGAATTAGGTAAAAGAGGAATATTAGTATTAAATTAATGATTAAATAAAATTTATTAAAAATAAAAATTACATAAATCTTACTTCTAATATAGTTATTTTTACAGTTAATTTAATAATTTACTCATATATTTATAATTTTTAATAAATCTTAACTAATAAAATAATGTCAAAAGAAATGTTTTAAAGAAATTATGGATTCTTGATTACTTATGCCATGGTATCATATTATTAAAAACTATGAGTCATATTTAAATGTCTTATAACGTACCAAATTAGCATATTTAAATGCCATGGTAATGATTGACATATATTAAAAACTATAATTCAATAATATTAACATCCTCTTTAGGCATTAGTTAAAGAATAATAATTAAGATTTTGTTAACCAATTTTTAGAAATAAGAGCATTGTTAACGATTTAAAATTATTTTTTATTAAAATTAAGAAATAAGTGTTTAATAATATTTTTTTAAAAATCTTTGAACTTTTTAATCCTTGTCCTTAAAATACTAATTAGCTTTTATCGAATGATTTTAATACATTTAAATATTTTTATTATTTAATTATTTAAGCGATCTCTTTAGAGTATTACTTAACAATGACTTTTGGATATTGCTGCAGCATATGCTTAGTGATTACATAAACATTTTCTGAGTGTTTGGGTAATAATTTTTCTTGCTGCATGATCTTCCTTTCAGGGAAATGTATGTCCTTATTTTGACATGATATACGATTCAATCATTAACTTGTATTCTTTTGTTGTTCAGGAGCAAAAGGAATGAGAAATATTTATTAATTACCATGAAGCCTCAAAAATAGCTATCCTTCTATAAGGCCGAAAAGCGGGAAAAGAGAAACAAGAATAAAGCCTTCTGATTTTGTATCGAAATTAGCACATTAACACAAACTTGATTTACATAAAAGATAAGTGACCCTGCAACATGTCAAAGCCTCTGTTCTAGTAACTGGAAAAGAAAATGACAATACATAGAACATTTGCTACAACTTGAAGAAACATGCAGTAGTGATTGAGCTAAGAGGCCTCGTCAGGGAAAATGATCTTTCTTAATTTCAAATCCTGAAATAGCCATAAATTCAGGATGATCAAGAACACCCTTAATTATATGTACATAGATATGATTATGATACACTAGGTTAGTTTCTTATCAATCACCCATTACTCATCTATCCTAACAGTTAATTTACCACTACATAGAGGTCGATTAAATACCCCTTGTTTTTAACATAGCTATATAAAATATAAATAAACTTGGACCATATATTCAAGAGGGAATTAGAAGATAATATAGGCTTGGGCCATTTCCTTAGAAATTATGTTGCTAATTAATTAGCACAAGAGGCTGCACCTTCTTCTCTTCAAGAATTTGGAAGGGTTCTGATCTGGTGGGTGCATGAATTTGCAATTAGGACAAGATGGGGATGATTTGCACAGCATGACCAACATGTGACATCTCATACAAACAGTTGCAATCATCTCTTTGTGATCACCTTCTGATGATAACCATGATGGAGTTCGAGTTAAAGCACATGAATCCCTTTTATGATTGATTGATTCATTCAATAGATCACCTTCACCAAAATTACGGGGGGAACCAGAATTCTTCTTCTCATTTATGTCATAACTCTCTTCTTTTTTCTTCAATGATTCACATGTCAAGTTCAGTTCAAGGTCTAGGCTCATTTGACCAACCTCAAGGTTTCCCTTTGAATCCGCTGTTTTGTTCATCTTTGTGTTACACAAGTGTATCTGCCCTGACTGCACAAAGAAGATGAGACATTTGATTAGATATACTCAAGAGAACCAAAAGTAAGCCTTCAATAAAGTTCTCCAGTATATAAGATGACTCTTGCTAATCAGTACCTCAACACACCGATTAAAGAATAAAAAAAGAAGAAGATAGATTATTAAATAAAAATTACGTTAGAAATCCATTAAAAATCATACAATAACATTTTTTACAAAAAAAAAAAAAAAATCACTTCTGATTTCCTAGTATTTACCAAAAAATATATATATACCTGGATAGTGAGGTATTGATGCAATTGATAGGAAGATAATGGTGTTTCCAGGTTTAGCTCTATATCAAAGGTGGGTTTTCTCTTCTCTGAATATGTTTGATCCTGCTTGAAGAATTCTTCAGTGAGTTTTTTTTCATCAAACTTTCTCTTGTGTGGTAAGGCTTCAAATTCTGAAGGAGGATCAGTTTTGGGGGTCTCAACCAGCACTTTGTGAAAGGAGACCATAGCTTAAATGTAAAGAGTGAGGTTTTCGTATCTGAGTAAGTGAAATATATGAAAAGTTTGAGGTGGTTATATAGTAGTAGGTGGCAGAACTTGAAGGTCGAAGCGTCAAAAATCAAAATAGGTGGTCTTTGCCTACGTACGTGTGAACTGTGACGTGCATTTCAAGTTGCCTAATCTTTCATAGTACACACTTTCACAGCTTAAGCTTTAAGTTATTTTATTAAGATCATAATGCTACGAGTTTGGTTTTTACTAGCATTGTCTCATTCTTGAATACAAAAAATTGGTTCATGCACTTTCCCGCTTCTAAAGTACTCTTGCAAAGAGTAGGGTTGAAGATCATATAATAAATGAATCATGCCTAATATATGTGAAATTTTAACCAACACATATTAAGTCAAAAAAATTCCAATACTTCCCATGCATGAGTTTTACACTTTAAAGCACCATTTATATAAATATGTAGCACCAACGAAAACAAATCCGCTACACTAATCTTAGGGTAAATTTAATTTTGCTTCTCCATGACATGACATGTTATAAATTAATTTGGTACTTATGATCATGAAAGTCGGTGTGAAAGGAGGAAGAAGGAGATGTATGGCACAGTCATTAATGTTGGGAGTCTGCATACAGTTGAAGGGAAGGTCTCGGATGACAATGGTTCTTTAATGTCGATAATAACTCCAACTTCCCCAATTAGTTCATTCCAAAATTAAGAAATAAAAATTAGTTCATTAGAATAATTAACAACAAAATTAGATTATTGAAATGCTAAAACTCTCCTTATTTTTAGGAATAACAAATGTTGGTCACTGTAATACTTAATTTTTCTCCCTTTATTTAAAAACTATATTGTTTTTTAAGTTTAAGACACAGAGATTTAAAAAACCGTTAATTGATGTAAAATCTTATTATTACATTTTACTAAAATAACATCTTTATTTAATGAATTTAATTGAGTAAAAATATAATTATAGTGTAAATATTTTGTACCCTGTTACTTAGTTGACATAATTTTAAACAATTTATTCATATAATTATTAAATGAGAAAATGATTGAAAAAATTAAATTAAATTAAGTCTTGAATTTCTAAAATGATAACTTTTTAAAACAAAATAAAAAATGGAGAGAGTAAATTCTTGAAAATGACTAATATATCAACAAAAAATTTTAATGTTTGCACAAGAAAGCACAACAAAAAAGTCTACAATAATAATTTTTTGTTAAAAAATATAGCACTAGTAAAAATATTTTACATAAAAAAAATCAAATTAGAGTAGTATATAAAAGTGATAATAATCGCTACAAAAATTTATTACCCATATTTTTTTAATCTTGTATGTCAATATCTGTAATTTTTAAATATCACGAGAAATCTTTTACATTTGGCAAGAATATATATATCCACTATCAAAATTTTCACTGACATTTAAGACTTCACTAAATCTAAAGACATCAAAGCCATCAACTTCCTTTGCAGCCATTAAAACAAACTGATCCACATCCATTGGGTGACCTATGCTCTTTAACACATTAGAAATAAAGGCTCTCAGCTCCCTCGACCATTAAATCAACCAAGTCCTATGAAGTTACTCCAAAAAAAAAAAAGGAAATTTATTGTTCCTTCTCTCCTAAATAAATGTTTAGAACAACCACTTCCCATCACCACCCCTGATTCTTGCAGCTGGATTTCATGCTCACAGATACTTGCCCACTTCCTCCCAAGATATTGACAACTGTGCTTTCATGTATTCGTTTCCTTGAAACAGCAAAACAATTATGCAATCGTCATTATATGCAACTCAGACGTGTAAAAGACAATGAGACAAATGTTTGTTAATTTGCACATGCTTCTACATATACTATATACAAATCAAGGGTCCATCGGATGGTATGCCTTGAAAATCTAATGTAATTATGTCATAATATTTTAGTCTAGTATATCCATATACCATTATGATAAACTACTCTGATTCTCATTATCATGAACAACTATTCCTCCCATGATTATATTAGAGAAAAAATAATTTTTATAAGAAAGTAACTAATAATATAGATCCTTTAATAAATGTTGTATTTTTAGGTTATCTCGTTTATATGATTATATCCTGCAATTTAACAAAATGAATGGATCTAAATTCGTTGTATTATTCAATGAAATACACATTCAAATCATTAATTATAAAATCAAATGAAAAAAAAAAAAAGATGCCAGGCAAAATGTGCCAAAACATTATCTGATATAAAATGAGTTTTGGGTTCTTCTTCTATATTTAGGGGTCGACGTGTGTCTTCGCCAAAGTTCACCACTACTAAATAAATTTGACGAGAGCCCTCAAATGGATATTTAAGTTAACACCACGAAGTTTGTTGCTTGTCACAAAGATATTCGTCATGTACTGCAAGGCGAATCCTACGTTTAATTTTCTCATTATTATTTACTTTTTTTTCATGTTCTCGATCAATAATGGTGAATGGAGTATATATCTTAATAAGTCTCGGTGTTTAAAATTTTGTAGTTAAAACACTTAACTTATAAAATACTTTTAATTAAACCTATGAATTTATGGTTTTGTAAGAGTTGGATGGAGCAATATTTTTAAAATTAGACTTGTGATTGAATCAACAAAGACAGTAATTTATCGTTCAATAGTTAAAACACATATTATTGAATTAGGGTTAAATTCATCATAATTTAAATATTTATAAGATAAATTTTTTTACAATAAATATATAAATATTAGCAAGTCATACATAAACATTTACTTGTTTTAAAAAAAATCAAAAACCTGCAAAACTTTCTTTTAAAAAAAAGTTTAGACAGGTTAATTAACACTAACTCATCCAATTTTGATTTTGATTTTACTAATTTTTTTTATCTAACCATTCTTTTAGGATATTTAGACTACTGGCTTGATCATAACTCGATCCAATAAGTTACTCCAGCTAATCAATTCTAAAATTTAAAATTATAGGATAGGATATAATTCGATCTTGATCCAAGCTTAAGTATAGTAGCGTTTAGATACTATCTTTAGACACGGGAAATAGAGACACTATGATAATGAAGGACAAAGACACTCATGTTTGTGTCTGTGTATTGTGTTTGGAAGTGAAAAAAAATGTAGTGTATTGCATCTTGTATTGTGTTTAGATATAAATATTATAAGGATAGTCTATACAATTTTAAAAAATTGTGAGAAGTATTTTTATTTTCAAAAGTTTACCTCCGTGTCTCTAAAACTGGGGCACTAATGTCCCTTTTTCTAGGAGGTATACTGATATTCTTTGAATTTGTGTTCTGCATGTCTTTTGTATTTCGGACTCTCCAACGAGATACTAACTAAACATAATACGCGTGCTTTCGTGTTTCCGTCTAAGTGTCTCTTTCCTGTAACCAAACGTTACTTATGGGAACTCATACGAATTCTAATTAAATCTCTGTATTATAACACAAATGAAGAATATTTTATCTAACTTATATAGAATCCTAAATGAAGGATATTATGTCTCAACTTTAACCTTAACTTAATTTATTAAATAAAATGGGAATCAATTAATTATTAATTATTAAAATATAAAAACCTAATTAATAATTCTTAAATAAAAAATGAATATATTAATAATCAAACTAAAATACTAAAATTAAAGATAATATTATTCTAACTTAAGAAAGAAAAAACATTTGAAATTGAGAAATGAGAAATTTGAAAAGGAAGAGAAATGGGAGAAGGAAAAAAGGGTCCTACCTACCGGGCCATTAAAGGCATTGAGAAAGAGATGTAGGGTTCAATGTTGAATCTCAAACAAGTTCACCTGCCTTCATTAAACCACTTTGAATTCACATAAATGCAGACTTGAACAGTGACCAGCATGAAGCAACCTTGCTTTCTTCCTCATCTTTCTTCGTCACTCTTTCCTCTGTTAAAAGTTCCCAACCCACCTTCCCATCTCTTCATTTATGTTCCTCTCTCTCTCTCTCTCTCTTTCAATCACTTCTCGCATTTTAGAAACTGTCAGAAATTCACTATCTACTGTTCTACCTTAGCAATTAGCATACATCCACACTATTTTCCACTCCTCCTATCTGCCACAGTACCACATTACACAATTGAAAACTGCTTTTGATTGAAGTAACCTTTGTCAAAATTTATTTCAGTCTTCAAACTTCAATGTGAGAGGACATGGCATGGCATCGAGCAAAATTTACGATTTGCTCGCTTCATGTCACGTGTGAAGTAAATGTAACTATGTAAGCTGTGTTTAATTTCACTTATTTACTTTATTATTATTATGATTTTCTTAAATCTATTCTATATTCAAAGTCAAACGTTAAAAGATTATAAAATTTAATACATTAATAATATTAAATGAATAAGAGATTATTATTTATTGATTTTTTATTGTATAATAATACTTGTCTGTAAGGCAATGCATTAACTCTTCGATGGCGCACATATAATAAGGAAATAATGGTAGCAGAGCCTACTACCTGCAAATCAGTCTCTTGTAATAAAATTTGGAAAGTGGAGGTAGGTTCCTATCGTTTTATGAATATTAATAGCGTTTATTAGAATGAAATCAATATCAATATATTAATTGTAAGAAACTGTTAGGTCTGTATTAACTCCGCATATCGGCATACAGCCCTATCCTCTTAACTTTGCTCTTCACACTCAAAAGTTTTCGATTCAAATATTCTAATTAACTATTATTTTTATCAATACATTATTTGAAAATATCATTGTAAATAGCTTTTATTAATGGCTGAGACATATATTCAATCATTAAACAAAAGAAACCAAAAAAACATCTATCAACTGAGAGAAGTTATTTCGATTAAAAGTTTAACATCCAATAAAATGAAATAATCTCCTCTCTCTTTAATTAGATTTTCAGCTAATACGATCCATGAAAAACTCCATTTACAAAGTCTATTTTTTGTGATTGATCATTTAAAAATAATAATAAAGCTCTCATCTCATAAATTGATAACCTTTTAAAAAGGAAAAAAAAGAATTAGGTGATGTTTTATAG